TTTATAAAAAGATTTTTATTTATTTATTTGAGAGAGAGAGCGCACGCACACAGAGATGGTGAAGCAGACTCCCCATTGAGCAGGGAGCCCGATGCCAGGCTGGATCCCAAGACCCTGAGATCATGACTTGAGCCAAAGGCAGCCACTTAACCGACTGAGCCACCCAGGTGCCCTGAGTCTCGCCCTTTTTAAAGTAGCCTGGATAGTGGGGATAAGAGACCTAGTGTTAATATTCACCGGTATCTGTGTTGCCTTCTTCCTGTGGAGCACACAGCTTTTCTGCAGTTAAGGATGACCATAGAACTGACTTCTGGCCAATGCAATGTGAGTGGAGGTGATGGGCACCACTTCCGGTTCTGGCACAATCCTCTCTCTCTTTTCCAAATCTATGGATTGAGTGGAGAAGATCTTAAGACCTAGAAAATGGCAGCACGTATGATGGAAGAAGTCAAGGTCTAGATGTTATGGAAAGCCACCTAACCAAGAATGTTCACGTTGGACTGGAATATGAGCAAGAAATACTGTACTCATCCGAAGAATTTCCTGTAAGGAAATTAATTAAAGACACAGGTCAGTAGCTGATGGTGAAAGTAGCTTTAAGAGAAGGTGTACTTAGAATGGGAGAAATGAGAACAATTTTGATGCTCATGGATGTAATCCATGGAGAGGAAAAAAAAAACTTGATGAAGAAGGAGGGAGGGGAGAAATGCTGCAGCAAGAGCCTGGACCAAATCACAGGGGATGAGATTTTGTGCACAAATGCTGATTTTGGCATTAGTAAGGAGCATAGAGAGATTGTCTTTTGTAATAGGAGAAAAGGCAGAGCATGTGGCTGCAAGTGATAAGTTAGAGGCAACATTTTTTCAACTTACTTTTTACTTTTTTTTTAAAGATTTTATTTTTAAGTAATCTCTACCCCCAATGTGGGGCTCGAACTCACAACCCCGAGATCAAGAGTCATATGCTCCACTGACAGTCAGTCAGGTGCCCCTGATTTACTTCTTAAAAGCATTTATGTGGGGGCGCCTGGGTGGCTCAGTTGGTTAGGCGGCTGCCTTCGGCTCAGGTCATGATCCTGGAGTCTCGGGATGGAGTCCCGAATCGGGCTCCCTGCTCAGCGGGGAGTCTGCTTCTCCCTCTCCCGCTCCCCCCTCTTGTGCTCTCTCTCTCTCACTCTCTCAAATAAATAAATAAAATCTTTAAAAAAATAAATAAAATTCCTTAAAGAAAGAAAGGATCGGTATTTCTGATTTTCCATTCTGTCTCAGGCTCCAATATGGCTCTGCTCAGCATGGTTATTGACCCTGTCTTTATTTAAAATTTTTGTATTTTGTTCATCATAGACTTTTTGCATTAATTTTGATCTTTAAAAAATAACCCTTTATTTTTTTTATATATGTGTTTACATAAATCCACTAAGAATCTGTTTTTTTTTTTTTTTTAAAGATTTTATTTATTTGACAGAGTGAGACACAGTGAGAGAGGGAACACAAGCAGAGGGAGTGGGAGAGGGAGAAGCAGGCCTCCCGCGGAGCAGGGAGCCCAATGTGGGGCTCGATCCCAGGACCCTGGGATCATGGCCTGAGCTGAAGGCAGATGCTTAACGACTGAGCCACCCAGGCGCCCCAACCCTTTATTTTTTTAAAGATTTTATTTTTTAAGGAATTTCTACAACCAACATGGGGCTCACACTCACAACCCCTAGATCGAGAGTCACCAGCTCTACTGACTGAGCCAGCCAGGTGCCCCTAAAAATTACCCTTTAAACATTTATCTGGAATACTGAGGTGTGGTGGGTTTTTTTGTTTTTTGGATTACTGAGTTTTTAAGTGCCCTCTCCATATGCCTTGGCCTTGCTTGTCCCATCCTAGTCCCCATCCTGTCCCTCCTACTGCCAGTAACACCCACTCTCATACGTACCCCAAATGTCTGCAGACATTACCAAATGACCCTGGGAGGGGGGGAACTGCCCCTCCTTGAGAACCACTGCTCAAATGGTATTAAATACCACTTTCCTGGCTCACAGTGCTCCTGAGTCTCTGTCTGGAATTCTGATTCCCTCAACAACCCCCTCTACGACTCACTTTCATCCAGATCAACCAGGTTTTTATCACTATAAACTGCTTCTGTGTTTGGTCCCAGGATTAGAAAAGGTGAATACATCTTCAGCTGCTGGAAGATGGCATCTGAAAAATGGACAAACCCTTTTAAATTCTAAGAAAGAGAATTCCTGGCAGAGCCTACTAATCACAGAAGCAGTTGAGATGAGATCATGTGGTATTGTGTCCCTAATCTAGACAAGATAGTGCCCACACCACCCATTTCCTGACTTCCAAACACACATTTTAGAGGTTGTCTCAGAGAACGAATTTGTATAGTATAATTTTTAACAGTCAGATCTGGCTTTAGTTTCTCTACTTCCTAGCTTGTGACTTAAGTCAAACGTTCAGGTTTTCTGGGACACCTGGGTGGCTCAGTCGTTGGGTGTCTGCCTTCGGCTCAGGTCATGATCCCAGGGTCATGGGATCGAGCCCCGCATCGGGCTCCCTGCTCCGCGGGAAGCCTGCTTCTCCCTCTCC